GGCCAATAATAACAAAGTATTAGCAACAGATACAAGTCACAATCCAGAAACAAGACTCAACTACTGACATAACACCTAGAAGAGCCTTCATTCCTTCTCGCCATCTCCCACTAGTTTGCACTTGCTTGAACTCTAACCAATCACTCTTAGCATTTTGGATTGTCTTTTGCTTCGGTTTCCAAATCCCTTCAATCACTCAAAGATTTCGAGCCTTCTAGAGCCACCATAAAATCTAAGTAGACAGTTAGATTCTTTTGCTCACGCATGATGCCACGTCAGCATTCCAACGCTTCGTTTTAAAATGAAAAGTCAAAATCATGCACTATGATTGTTAAATTGAAAAAAGTTTGTGTTTTAACGAAAAAAAAAATCTTGATTTTTTTGGTAATTAGGCCTTAAACTAGTCGGGCTAAATTAGCCATGCTCCAGCACCGGCCCGTACATTAGGCCCATGAGGTGACTTTCTATAATAATCAAAGGGTTAGAAAAGCAATATATTTATGGGAAATTTTCATTTATACTTATTGATTTTTAAATTTTACCATTGAAACCAATAAATTTATGTATATGCCTAAAAGATAAAAAAATAATTATATTGATGCCTAAGCATCTTCTCTCTCTCTCCCCGTAATTCATGCTTTCAGTTACCTTATCAAACCAAATCATCTTTTCTCTCTCCGCCGTGAATTACGACGTTGTTATAAAAAAAAGCAAAATCCTTTTTTGATTTCGCATGACCGCATGTTGTTACAATAACAATACAATATTATGTAACCAGACATATAACCCTACATATATATATACCAGAAATATACCAGAAACAGAACATAACCCGACATGTAACCCTACATATATACCCGACATATACCAAAACTGAACAATGTTCTGTAACCGAGCATATAACCCTAACATATATACCATATATATAACCGTTATATATTCTATCATAAAACATAACAAATATACCAATTCATAGTGAACACAAGATAGAAAAAAAAAATAAAAAAAAAACAACAGATATACACTTTAATATACCGAAGATATACATATAACAAAAAAAAAACCGAAAATATACTGTACATATACTCCAAAATAAATGAAACGAAAAAAAATCTCAGAAATCATCTTCTTCAACCTCCAGAAACTTCTCAGAAATATACTCTCTCCCCGTCCTAAGATCCGAATTTTCCTCTCCTCCACCTCCCGGCGTCAACACCCTTCCAATCTCCCGCAACAGTAGCGGTTTCAATCTCCGAAAGCGGCTTCACGGCTTCAATCCCAATTTTTTTTTTTTATTAATAACAGCCGCCCAGCGGCAGCGGCTCTTAGCCGCGCGAATTTCGGCGGACAGCCTCAATGGCAGTAACGGCGGGAAGAGGTCGGGGACCTCAATTCCCAGAATATTGACTTCGAAGAACACAACAAAAATATTCCAAACGGAGAGCGAGGGAGACGAATACGAAGCGAGCGGGAAAGAGAGATCGAGAGAATTGCGATAGAGGGGAAAGAGAGCGAGAGACCGAGACAGAGAGTTTTTTTTTTTTCTTCTGCAAAATATTCTCGTTTCCCGAATTGTCGCGAGAAAAAATGAAACGTCCTTATCGGTTTAATCTTCATTAATTATCGGTTATAACTGCAACGCTATTAGTTTAGGTAAATTAGCAATATTTTATGATATTTTTGGTGGTTGTATAATTATTTAACTAATGATGGTAGATTTATAATATTTTAGGGAAGAGGAAGTAGAGTATGCAATTTCCTCTATATTTATATACATCTAAACGGCCCAAATTAATTGGGCTTAATATACCACTTGGACTCTTTAGGTGAATGATTGAAATGAGCGATAAAATAATAATAATAAAAAAAAAAGAAAGAAAATGTGTGAAAAAAGCACGAAAATTTGGAGAACGCAAACTGCATCTATATATCCTCCACGCCTCCGGCGATCAGTCCAAGGTCCATCGCCGGTCGGAAGACGCTATCCGGCGCCGTAAATACGGACTTCGTGTCTCAGCCCAGTCTCCAAAAAACGGTAAGTCCCTACTTCCAAATCTTCTAATCCCAATTTGCCCAAACAGCAAAACCCTAAAATTCCTTGTGATATATTTTTTTCCGCTTAATGTTGGAAAACTACGCTTGTGAGGCCTCTTATTAGTTGTTGTTTAGCGGCAGATTTGATGACCTCGAGCCCAGAATGATTTCTTTTTCTTTTTTTTTTTTCTTCACTTATTTTGTGAAATATTTAATGGGTTTTCGTTTTTAAGTTTTAAGTTCTGTGGGGTTTGTGCAAATGCTGAAGGTTCTCGATTGATTGCTTTTTTTTTTATTTTTGTAGTTTTTGAATATAATGTGTGACTTTTCCAGTAATAATAATATAAATTAGTTTTCTTGTTAATGAGAGTGTTATTCCTACATATGTTAGAATCAAGCTCGATTACTTCGATAATGCCTATGCGAGCATATATGGTAGATAGAATTGTGCTCCTCTGTTTCAAACTTAAATCAGCTCCTTTAAATGAAATAGAAGGAATGTGTAAAATTAGGATTCGAGCTAGTAAAATATTTTAGAATGTTAGTGAATGAGTGCTTAATCTGTGTAATAATGGCATAATCTGATATATATATATCTTGTAATTTTTGTATGAGCCATTTGTCTCTGTTGTGGAGTTTTTTACTATTTACTATGTGGATTTTTTTTTGTATGAAGAACATGTTTAATACGATTAAAGATCGATAAAATGAAACCCCACCTATTCGTTAATAAAGTTCAAACTGAAAAATGTATCGAGTACATTATAGTTTTTTATGTACTGTTTTTCTTTTATTTTTTTCAACCTCAGTTTAGTGGAGTCCAAAAGCAGGGAGACACCAAACCTTAATTCAATTCGCTTCGTCCGTTGGGAAGCCATTAAACTGAAGGCTTCGCTCCCTGGCCCCAACGCTCGTTTAGTAGACAGCGAGTGGAGTGCATGAGCCCCTGACGCCACACACAAACTGTGAGGTGGTTAGCCCAAAGTGTCCTGGTAATTTATCGAACTTTTCTTTTTTACGTAAAGATAATTTTTTCCGCTTCTTTTAAACTTGTGAAATGAAGTTTTTCCTTGATTTGCCAATACAATATATGGTTGTCTATTATAGGTTTGCTGTACTATCTTTCTCTGAAACCCTTTCTTTTTCTCGTTTAGATAAAATCTGTGAGTATATTTGTGCTTGTTATTATTGTGCTGCTAATATATTGCTAATTAAGAATATATACTGAAAGTTGGAATTTGAATAATACATCTGGTACAAATACTATCATGTTTTCTCTGTATTCTTATGAACGGTCTTTTCAGTTCAAAATTTCGTGTTCTTATGTTCAATGAGTAGTATTGTTACATTGTTTGCTATCAGGTTCGACTGGATTTTCAGCATAAGAAGCTTTTTCTTCTTCTTCTTCCGAGCTTCTCGATGGAAAAACGACACACCAACCGGGCTTTTCGACTGCTCGAACGCTTTTATACTTTCCTCCGCAGATTCATATTCTCGATCCTCTCCGTGGGCCCCACACCCGATCACATCGCCTTCATTATGGACGGCAACCGAAGGTACGCCAAGTGGCGAAACCTCCGAGATGAAGGATCGGGCCACCGGGCCGGGTTCTCGGCCCTCATGAAAATGCTACAATATTGTTACGAACTGAACGTGAAGCACGTGACGATTTACGCATTCAGCATCGACAATTTCAAAAGGCGACCGGACGAGGTACAATCCACGATGCAGTTGATACAAGAGAAAATCGAGGGTTTGACTGAAGAAGAAAGTATGGTCAACCGACACGGAGTGCGGGTCAACTTTATCGGGAATCTGAAGCTCCTTAGCCAGCCCGTGAAGTTGGCTGCCGAACGGGCCATGCGGGCCACCGAAGGAAACTCTCGGGCCGTGCTCTCAATTTGCTTAGCTTACACGTCCACGGATGAGATTGTGCATTCGGTCGAGAATGTTTGTATCGAGAAAAAACGGGCCGGGAAGTGCTGTGATGTTGTTGACGTGGCGGATGTTGATCGGGGGATGTATATGGCGGGTGCTCCCGATGTGGATGTTTTGGTCCGGTCCTCGGGCGAGACCCGGCTGAGCAATTTTCTCCTGTGGCAGAGCGCATGTGCCTTACTGTACTCCCCACGGGCGCTGTGGCCGGAAATCGGGTTCCGGCACCTGGTTCGGGCGGTTTTGGATTTCCAGAGGAATTTTGTGTATTTGGAGAAGAAACGAAAACAAAGGTACGAATTTTAGAGGGATGAAAATTGTGATTTAGAATGTATGAATGTATAATTGAAATGACGTCGTTTTTTTGTGATGTGGGAAACGAATCAAATGACTACAGTTCGATTGAAAGGAATCATCGTGATTAGCTGAAACCAGTCCCAGAGGGTGGTTATCACCGACTTGATAACCCCCACTTCAATGTGGACTCCTTCGACGTGCGGTGGCTGCACCCATGGATGGCCGGGGAACAATTTCGGAACGACTGCAAAAGGCTCTCGAAAAGAATGGTGTAGTCACATGTGATAAACTGATTTATACTCCTTACTGAGGTCACTTGCATTGGCTTACTAGAGCTTATGAGTTCTGTATGGTGATTCGAGTACCTGACCATTGTTTGTGTATCAACTTACATTTTCTGAGGACATTATGCACTCAGAGACCAATGGGGAAATCTATTTACACATTTACACATTTGAACACCATCATAATAATTTTAATCGCATTGACAGGGTATACAATTTGCCATGTCAGGACGTACAACTATAATTGTGAAATTTTGATGTGCTTGAATTGGTAAGATTCTCTCACCCGAAAAAAAAAAAAGCCCTCGTGGAAACCTAATTCTCAAATTCCTGCCTCCCTACTGCCGCAACTCCCTCCTCCTTCCTCCGGCCAGCTGGCATCGAGGCCGGCAACTCGCCCCCTCTCCTTGTTCGTGCTCCACGTGCCTTAGACGTCGTTGACGGGTGGAAGTCGAGCTCCGGCAGCTTTTGTGTTGCTTGTTCGTGCCTTATTTCTCAAGGGTTGGTCTTCACGGCAGGTTGCGGTTGGTCTTTGATGTGTGTGTGGGGCGGGGGACGTGTTTTGTGGCTCGGCGTTGATTGAAGTGGTCGCTTTGCATTGAATGCCTTTTCGAGGTTGAGGATCTCAGATTTGGATAGTTGTAGCCGATTTGGAGTGCGGAGTTTTTGGACTGGTATTCTAGGCTGAAAATGGGCTCTTCTATGTAGATTTCTTCGATTTGTTGGCTTGTGAGGTTGTAGTGTATGTGTATTTTGACGGCGGCCAAGGAGGGCTTTATTTTATTAATTAGGTGTGAGTTGTTTTTTTCTTGTGTTTTTTGTTGGTTAAGTGCAATTGTCTGCTTTGAGTGCAGCTGTGTCTGTTTTTCTCTTCTATATTGAGTTAGTGTCTCTATTTTGGAGTTTTGTTTTGTGGTTGTTCACCTCCTTGATGGAGTT